CCGCTGCCCGCCGCCAGGCCGGGTCCCCGCAGCGCCGAGCCCAGAGCTCCGGTAGCGCAGGGAGGCAGGAGACCCGGCAGCCCCGGTGGGGAGAGGAGCCGGCCTTGTTCCAGCAACCGGAGGACGCTGCAGGTGGCGGCCGTCTCGGATACCACCGACCGCAGCTCGGAGTCTTTGCCCTGGTCCTTTTTCTGCTTGGTGCGACGGTTCTGGAACCAGACTTTGACCTGCAGGGCCGGGGAGAGAGGCAGGGTCAGCGGGCAAAAGCCCCGCCAGGTGCCCCGGCACCCCCGGCGCGGCTCCGCGGGGCAGAGTTTTTTGGGGGGGGGAAGGCTCCGGCAGGCACTTGCTAACGGGGAGCATCCTAAAAACCTCCCCCGACCGGGCTGCTCCCCGTTTCGGGGTGCGCCCGGTGGGGGGGGGGGGGGCGGGGAGGGGATCCGGGAGCCCTTAGCTCTTGCTATGGCTCTCTATCTTGAACCTGTAAATTCAGCCGAATTTACCGTCCGCCAGTCGTTCCCTGGGAGCCGGATCCAGCCCGGCGGCTTTATTCTAAGGCAGCTCAGCCGCTGCCCCTGGCCGGACCCCCAGGACCCCGCTCCGCGGCCCCCTCGCCCCCGGCCCCGCCGGCCGGGACCCCGCACGCTGCCACCGCCGCTGCTGCCTGGCCCGGGTGTAATCACAGCCCTGCTCTTCTTTCCCAATCTCCCGGCCTGGACCTTGTCTCTCCCATACCCACCCATTTTAAGCAATATTTAACTTTAAGAAGGGATCCTAGAAGCCCCTCAAAAAAAACCCCAAACCCAAAACAAACAAAAAAACAGTAAAACCCCGCCAATAAACCAAAACCCCAAAACAGAACAAAAAACACCCGTGGCAGTTTCCGTAACCTACGGGCTATTGAACTTGTCATTCCTATCCGGCAGGGGAAAGAAAAAAGCTAATTAGCTTGTCAGGGGAATTTATTGTCGTATGATATTTTGCAGAAATATGAAACCGGCTTTTAGAAGTTTGGTCTTTTTAGATGCTTCCCCGCACTCTGGCATAGTTTGAACCCGCCTGACCGCCCCCGGCCGCTCTGCTCGGCAGGATGGAGGGGGCGATTTGCCCCCCTCGGAAATAGAAGGACTCAAAATACGGCCCAAACTTCAGTCCCGTCCCCGGATCTCTCGCACCCGGGAAAGACCGCTCAGACCAAACCTCTCTAACCCCGCACCCCCCAGGGGAAGGTGCCATCCTCCCCCCACCCCAACCCCCGGTTTTAGCAGCTGTTTTCTCCTTGCTGCGGGCTAGGGGTTGCTCGGCCTTTCCTCGCTTCTCCCCGGCCGCAGCAGCGCAACCTCCGCGCCCGGGGGGCAGCCGGCACCGCAGAACCGGCGGCACCGAGCCCCGGTGGCGGTGGGGAGCCGCTCCCCGACCCGGAGAAACCCGGGGAAGCGTTTGGCTTCTCCGCCAAGCTCCCGCCGACCCCTCGGGCCGGGCCGCCTCGCCGTGGACAGAACCCACGCGGCCGCGGGAAAGCCCGCGGGGCCTGCGTGTGGGGACGCGCAAGGCCGTGGGACCCCCCCCC